TTAAAAACTGCTCTTGAAAAAGTACCTCACAATTGTAAAAATTTAGAAGTTGTAATTCACGCTGATAGGAAACCAGCCAATGCTCATAGAGGACGTTTTAATGCACCGACGGCAAGCGAAGTAGCTCTGGTCATAGTTGGACAGCAGTTTGAAAAACGAGATATTGTATTACAATATCTCGTTAAGTCATGACAACAAATTACAACGTATTAGTGAAGTTGACCGTTCGTACGATGCATTGCAATACCCGATACTTTTCTGTCGAGGCGAGGATGGTTACTCCATTGACCCGAAAACAGTTACCTCTTCGAAAAACCGTTTCTGCAATGAACTTTTATTCTTACCGCATTATGATCAGACAAACGGAAATCAACCATTTATTATATTGTCGATCTCTCTTCAGTCAATACTTAGTTGATATGTACGCAAAAATTGAGACAGAGCGATTAAATTTTATCAGAAACAACCAGGCGTAACTCCGAGTCGATAGTTACATACATCTCAGAGATGCTACAGGAATACAAGATACCGATGTCGCTCAGCTTGGTCAGATGGTAGTGCTTCCGTCATCTTTCACTGGGTCACCACGATATATGCATGAAAAGACTCAAGACGCCATGACATACGTCCACTATTACGGTCGTCCTGATTTATTCATTTCATTTACATTTAATCCTCGATGGAATGATATTAAAAATGCATTACTATCTGGACAAAAGCCTCATGATCGTCATGATATCATTGCTAGGGCATTTCACTTAAAAGTTAAGGCATTAATGACATTGCTAACAAAGGGGAATTTATTTGGAGACGTGCGTTGTTTTATATATTCTGTCGAATGGCAAAAGCGTGGTTTGCCTCATATACACATTTTGTTGTGGCTACAGCAACGTATTTCTCCAGATAAATTAGATAGTGTTATTTGTGCAGAGATACCAGACCCTGCGAAAGATCCTCTCCTTCATGAAATTATAAAAGGCAATATGATACACGGGCCTTGCGGTAATTTAAATAACAGATTACCCTGTATGAAAGAAGGTAGCGCACTAAGAAGTTTCCTCGACCTCTCCTTCAAGAAACTCAAACAGGAGAAGACGGATACCCAAAGTATCGACGAAGAGCCCCAGGAGATGGTGGTTTTACTGTTGAAATCAATGGTGTGACCCTTGATAACCGTTGTGTAGTGCCATATAACCCTGTGCTTTCACGTACTTTCGGTGCTCATATTAAGATGGAGTACTGTAACTCTGTAAAATCTATAAAATACATATGTAAATATGTCAATAAAGGGAGTGATCAAGCAACATTTGGTCTTAAAAATGAAAAGGATGAAGTCGAACTTTATGAAAGTGGGCGATACATCAGCAATATGGAGAATTCTGGCTTTACCCATCCATGAGAGGTTCCCTCCAGTTTTCCCACTGTGCATTTGGAAAATGGCCAGCGAGTCTATTTTAACCCAAATGACGCCAATCACTTAACAAATATTGTTAACAATCCAGTAAAAACTACGCTTACAGCATTTTTTGACTTATGCAAAACCGATAATTTTGCAAAAACACTTCTTTATGTTGAAGTTCCCTCTTTTTATGTATTGAAAAATAACAGATTTGAGAGAAGAAAACGTGGTAATGACGTCGTTGGCTGGCCGGGAATAAAAAAAGATCAGACTTTAGGCAGGGTATATACCATCCACCCTAATAATACTGAGTGTTATTATCTTCGCCTTTTACTACATGAAACCCTACATCTTTCATAGAATTGAAAACGGTTAATGGCACGATTCAACCCACATACCAGTCTGCATGTAAGGTTCTAGGCTTGCTAGAAGACGAAAGGCTCTGGGATGCAACTATGGTTGAAGCTGCGCTTTGTGAATCTCCGTTTAGATTACGCGAACTTTTTGCAGTAATGTTGATGTTTTGTCAATTGTCAGATGCTTCAAATCTTTGGGAGAAATGTAAAGATACCCTTTCGGAAGATATACGGAACCAAGTCGAGTTAAGAGCTACAACATAGTTCATCTAATTTTAAATGAAGTATACAATAAATGCTTGGTGTGTCTTGAAGATACAGTGCTGTCTTTAGAGGCCAATGTTTACAACAGTATAGTTTACCTCATCCATCAAGATGTAATGAAGTGTTACAAAATACAGACTATATCCGAGAGATGAGCTATGACTCAAATATTTTAGCACAGATAATAACTACTAATGAAAATTTGTTAAACGATGAACAGTCTCACGTTTATAGCCAAATTTTAGAAAGCATCGAAAAAGGCACTGGTCAAACATTTTTCTTAGACGCTCCTGGCGGCACTGGTAAGACATTTGTCCTGAGTCTTTTATTGGCTAGAGTGCGAAAAAATCGCCAGATAGCATTGCTGTTGCTTCTTCAGGCATTGCTGCAACGTTGCTGGAAGGAGATAGAACGGCTCACTCTGCGTTCAAACTGTCCTTGAACCTGACGCGAGTAGAGACACCTATCTGTAATATTTCAAAACAGAATAACATGGCGCAAGTTTTGAAGGACTGTAAACTAATAGTTTGGGATGAATGCACAATGGCCCATAAGAGTGGATTCGAAGCTCTCAGTAGAACATTACAAGACATAAGAGAAAACAATAGCTTGATGGGAGGGGTCACTGTGCTGTTAGCTGGAGATTTTTGGCAAACGTTACCCGTCATACCTAGGAGTACACGGGCAGATGAAGTAAAAGCATGCTTGAAGACTTCATATTTGTGGCCACATATCCAGAAACTTGCACTCCAATACAATATGAGAGTCCATTTAAGTGGTGATACATCCGCTGTGCTTTTCGCTGAAGTGCTACTAAAAATAGGCGATGGAAATTACCCTTCACTGGAAGGTAAAATCCAGTGGCGTGCCGTGACATTTGATGATAGGGAAGCTGTGTTTCTATAAGAAGCCGACATCCAGGGGCAATCAGTTAATTCTTTCTTTAAATGTATTTTTAATAGATTATTTATCTGACGTACTTAATAAACAAGTTCAATATAATTACCTCTGTTATTAAATCCAATACATTCCACATGCCCCCTAAATGCCAATTCTTGCTTTGATAAAAACATATGACATTTATTTATTTAGATATAATATATCTATTAATCGTAACTATCTCATTATAATTTTCAATATTTATTTTATATTATTTACTAATGTTAAATTCTATTCCGCTTCGATTTCCAAATTGCTTCAAATACGAAAGAATCGACGATTTTTCGTGTCTTTTGCCAGCTAAATTGTCAAAGCCATTCTTATTCCACACACTAATTTCATTTGAAAAGCCAAAGCCAAGAAAACAATTTTTGCATTTTTATGCATTTACAGAGCCATTTTATCGTGAAATGTCGAACAAACTTTTTATTGAAGTGTTTATATTTAACTTAGGCATTGGCCTTTCTCTTTTAATAATGTTTTCCTTTTCATTATACGATCTTGAGCCAAAACTTTTTTAAAATAAATTTTCAATATCGCAATTACATTCTGAATCGCTAGCCACGATACAAGGGCTAAAATAAAAAATAAAATTATAAAAACTTACTTGGTAAAATAAAATGTGTGGTGGATATACATACCTGGTACAAAACATTTTTCAATTGTATGAATATACTTTTAAAGAAAATTATAATTAATTATAGCTTTGTAACGAAACGTACATAAAAATAACACAAAATATTCTTTACTCTTTAAATCTTAACCACTTAGTCAAATAGCTCCCTACGAGTGGAATCGGAGACGGTTCTGCTAGGTGTTCGGTGTGTACATGCACGCGGGCTGCCAAATCCCGAGGGTGCCGATACCGGTCAATGTCAAATGCATCTTTATTCGCATCACTAGTATATCTCAAAAGACGCGACAGAGTTCTTGTAAATTTTAAACGTTTCTCACCATAGCTGTAAAAGTCTAAATATGTTAAACTTAATAGATTGTCCGTCGTTTGTTTTCTAACTAATTCGTTTTAGGACCAGGTGTTGTCCACGGAAATTTCCAAAATTTACAACTTCTCGGTCACTCTCGTTGAACTGGAAAAATGTCTGTCTTTATTACATCTAATATTTCGAAGAAATCAGTCCCACTGTACTCGGCTAGAGATTGGTTCGATTAGGCTTTTGTTTAAGTAAAATTTCGGCTCTTTCATCAGGGTTTTGTTTATGTCCCCAATTCCCTAACCGCTTAATTATTTAACTATTTCTTAAGTAGAAATAAGTCGAAACCAGTTACTTTGTACTCGAATATTTGTAGTTTCGGGAAAAAAGTGGAAAGACAAATTTTTATGACAAACGGATATATAAATCGTAAATTTAAGGAAAATAAATTCTAGAACTTTTTCTGTACCTCGTGCATCTCTCTCATTCATTAAATTTAGTTGTAAATGACGCTGTCAAAGTAACGGTTAATTTTTAAACATTATACAAGAATTGTACACGTTTTTTCTACATCCCCTTAAAGATGGGACATACGAAATCGTAATATCACGGTTTAACATTGAAATCCGTGAGTAATATAAAATCGGAGAGCGGAATAAATATATCAAATATTTTAACGGATTTTTTAAAACTCCTGTCAACTATACAGAAAACTATCATAAAAACATACAGGTAAATTCTTATCGGTTGGGTTAAGTTATAAATCTACTCATGATTCACATAATCGGGCGAGGGCGACTAACAGCCCGGAACCGGTCCTGGATAGAATTGGATGCGTTATACGTGTAGCATCCACCCAAGGTCCTAGGCTTCCACCGGCTAAACCGGGTGAGGTTGGTGCTCAGTAAAGCTCATACGCGAATCTGGCTTTTTGGATGCTGACAATACAGCGTTTCCACTCCGCCACTAATATTCGAATATACAATAGCAATTTTATCTTTTTTTTCACGTGTAGTATAGAAATTTGTAATAAGATACATAATGCGGTTATAATAAAATATTGTGCGATTATTTTCATATAATTAAAATTAATGTGCATTTATTTTTTAGAAAATACAAGGGAAGCGGCGCATCCACCGCTTCTAATGACGGCACGCCACTGGTAAAATCACAATCCCTTCAGATTTGGATACAGTAGTTACGTCCTTATCAGAGCTAACTTCTAAAATATATTCCGATATAAGTAACATCAAAAAGAAGCCCATAGAATGGTTGTGCGAGCGTGCTATCTTAACTCCGAGAAACGATAGCCGCAATTAATGATATCCTATTAAAGGCCTTCGAAGCTCAAGATCTTGAATACAGGTCTTTTGATTCAGTGATCCAAACGGACGACGCCGTCCACTATCCGACAGAATTTCTTAATACTCTGAATCCTCCTGGTCTGCCATCACATAAACTCATTCTTAAAGTCGGAGCACCTGTAATGATATTAAGAAATCTTAATCCACCAAAATTATGCAATGGTATGAGACTACAAGTAAAAGCTTTGCATAAGAACATTGTAGAAGCTACAGTGATCACTGGATGTGCTCGAGGAGAGATAGTTTTTATCCCAAGAATACCATTAATACCATCAGAATATCCGTTCGAATTTAAGAGAACACAGTCCCCTCTCAAGATGTGTTTTGCCATGACTATTAATAAATCACAAGGACTGAAAATGGCCGGCATCGACTTGAGTGGAGCTATTTTTCTCATGGACAGTTCTTTGTCGCATGTTCCAGAGTAAGCTCTGCGAATAGTCTGGTCATCTTAGCCCCGAACGGTTGTACTGCAAACATGGTTTACAAAGAGGTTCTGGGGTAACTGAAACTATTTTTCTGTAAGTATTTATAAATTTATTTATTTATTTATGTTTTTTTTATATATTTACGTATAACGTCATTTATGTTTCGAGAAAAAATAAACTCAGATTTATTGTATCTCGGGATCCCATAACATTTGAAACTTGAATTTAGATGCATTAGCAGTCGATAGTTTGAAACAAACAAAAATCAGTAATTTTACCACATTAGCAACAACCAATGATTGAGAATCTTAGTGAAGTACCGAGAGAGGGCTATTTCTATCAAATTGCAAAATCCTGGCGGACAAAGCCGCGGATAACAGCTAGTTATTTATATTTTTGTTTTATGAAAATAATTATTTGAATCAATAATATAAGACATTTATTATATTCATTGCTTCGATAAAACGCGTTTTATAATAATATATTTGAATAATTGAACTGAATAAAATCTCAAAATCAAGAATTATAAAATTGTTTTTAATGACTATTTATGGTTTGCCAAAATATTTGTTATTATAAAATACATATATAAAAACACTAGACTTTCTTTACTTTCAAGGATACGAAAAATATTGTGTAAGCCAGGGGTGGCCAACAGTTTTTGCCCCCGGGCCGAATTGGAAAGAAAACTTTTTNGTTACGTGTCTGTTTGCACAGAAGCATGTCGCGACGTGAATCTCCCCACCCAATTCTTACATGATGACACACATTTCATGTGTTTTCCATGAGCAGTTCTGTTCGAACAGTTGGAGTAGGGAATATTGTAGGCTACAGCTAGCAAAACAATGTCAAATATGTAATCACTTTCGGTAATCCGGACACTTTTGGTAATTCGTCACCCCTTTGGTCCCGTACCTGTCGGATTATTAAGGGACAACTGTATTTGAATCAATAATATAAGACATTTATTAAGTTCATTGCTTCGATAAAACGCGTTTTATAATAATATATTTGAATAATTGAACTGAATAAAATCTCAAAATCAAGAATTATAAAATTGTTTTTAATGACTATTTATGGTTTGCCAAAATATTTGTTATTATAAAATACATATATAAAAACACTAGACTTTCTTTACTTTCAAGGATACGAAAAATATTGTGTAAGCCAGGGGTGGCCAACAGTTTTTGCCCCCGGGCCGAATTGGAAAGAAAACTTTTTTCACGAGCCGAACCAGAGACTGCCCTAGGAAGATTTTGAGGTGGTGCGAAATCTCATTGTGGTGTTACCCCGTAAAGACTAAATTGTACATAGAGATTACAGATACATTTTTCACATTATCATGATTTATCAACATTCTACGCGCTGTACTTACGAGATTTGTAATAGAGCGTTAACTCTAAACGCAGTGAGTTGTTAACCTTTTTTTTTTTATTTTTAGGCGTCAGAATTTTTCATCGAGCTATTCGGACTTCAGTAGCTAATGTTGAAAGATTAATCGCGGGCCACATAAATTCATTAGACGGGCCGTATGTTGGCCATGCCTGGTGTAAGCCATAAATATTTTTTATGTCCATTGACAGAATATTAGTTTGAAGTTATGTTAATTACGGTTTTAGCTTATTTAGAACAAGGATAAATCTTTATTATTTTTAAATATTATTTATGTCCATTGACAGAATATAAGTTTGAAGTTATGTTAATTACGGTTTTAGCTTATTTAGAACAAGGATAAATCTTTATTATTTTTAAATATTATTTTATAATTTACATTGTTTAATTTGAATTATGTGCGTGCCTTTTCCAGAATGTCTAACGGTCAAAGAAAACTGTCTGGTTACCAGTACAAAAAAAGAAGGCTGGAAAAGGAAGCCGAAAGGCAAAAACAAGCTGGCGCGTTAAAAAATTATATCTAGAGTTGTACCAAAACAAATGACGACTCTGAAAACTCAACATCAAGTCCGGTTATAAAAGAAAATACAAAATCATCAAAGGATGATGATGACAAACAAATGGACAAAGTTTCTAAATCAATTGGAACTGACGACACTGAGTCTATCATCACCAGATGAAAGCATTGAAAAAATTGACACCAACGTGACTCCCATAGAAAGCGTTCTATTAAACTCTGAGTACCGATCCAGCATTGTGGCCAAAAATTCTAGGAGACGCCGAGAAATGTTTTTTAGTAAGACAAGATCCACCTAAACCATTGCATAATTACAAATTTCCTTCCAATGACACTGGTCGACATTTTAGCGTAAATTATTATACACAAAGTTTTAATCAATGGAGAGTAAGTTTTACGAGATTGGCAAGTGTACTCTCTTTCACAAAACTGCGTTTACTGCTTCTGTTGCAAAATTTTCGGCTGTATAGTTAGTTCTCTTTCAAAGGAGGGTTTTAAAAGTTGGAAGCACCTTGGCGAAACTTTAAAAGAGCATGAAATTTCTTTAGACCCATTTCCCTGACCGGTTGTTTGAATCCACCTCTCTCCCGCCAGACGGCATAAGAGCGCTCTGGCGCTGCAGATTTTGTCATTTCTCGTGTGTTTTGTCCTGTTTGGTTGTTTGAACCCACCTCTCTCCCGCCAGACGGCATAAGAGCGCTCTGGCGCTGCAGATTTTGTCATTTCT